ACAGGTCGCTACAGGTGAGCCTTTAAGGTCTGTGGAGACCTGTGGTTCTTGGTGCTTCACCTAGAAAGATGGCACTAGTCTTTCCCTTATCAGTAAGTGTTTATTAAAGACTCGTGAGGAAAAAAAAAAGATGAAGTGAAGGGAAGGGAAGACAAATTTGATGGCAAGTCCAAAAACTGGACAGAGAAGAACATTCAGGTAACTGGCAGCCGAAACCCAGAAAGGCTTCCTACTGCTCCCCGTCCTGCTTTTATTTTAAGCTCTGGAAGCTAAATTAGGTTCAGGTTCACAATCTGCTATGCTTGCAAGCCGAGGTGCATACAGCAGGTAATGAGTCCTGTCAGCAGTGGCAGGTCCCACAAAGTATTCTAGCTTTGATCGTTTCCATGATCACAGAATGCATACCTTGCCCTAACCAACCATCTGGCACCTCCCAGTCGGTCCTCCCAGGAGATCTCGGAAGCAGAGTTTTCAGGATGGAAAGGCACCCATTGCCTCTTACACACAAAAACAGAACAGAACCTAACAACAACTCCGTGTGCTCGACCCGCTGTGCTCTGCATCGCTTTCACATGCCGGCAACAGATTATTACAGGAGCATGGACTGAGAACATATCCCTGGATCTCAGTAAACCAAGGAAGAAGACTAAGGACATCACGCTGGACATTCCCTGGAAGCGTGCCCTGCCCCCCGCTGCTGCACTCCTTCCTGGGAGTGCAAGCGCTCTGCTCACAGCGGACCTGCTGCTGAGCCTGTCCCGTGAGGACCTCAGTTCTCCAAGGGAGTCCCGTCTCTTAGCGGGTGTGGGTGACAGCAACGGTAACAGGCGTCAGGAGGCTATTACCTTTATAAAAAGCCAAGCCATATTTGATTTGCCTTTAAAGTTCAAGGAAGACTCCATAGAAGTTGAGCAAGGCTTTATTCCTCGCTCCCAGACCACCTTCCCAAGAGAACCTGAGGTTTCATAGACCAAGCAATAAAGAAAAAGGAGTGCACACTTCTTCCGGGGACCACAGTTGGGGGTGTGGGTTCTAAGAAACACTCCCCACCAGTTTCTGAGTTGGGAAGTGAAGCGGGAACAGCGCGTTTCCTGCTTCTCCTCTAAAAACTCAGCCAGGGCCAACCGGGAAGGAGGAAGTGGTCTTAGAGTCGCCAGCTGCTAGGGTGGAGTTTGGGGGCAGCCAGAGAGGAGCCACGAATTTCAGGGGGATCCGGACAGTTACACGCGAGTCCCCGCCCACTTAGGATGCGCGCCCCCATCCTTGTAGGGACTGAGTCCCCGAACTTAATCTTGGGGTCAAACTCTCTCAGCTCCCACGGGAGAGGCCGGTGTGAAGCTAAGACTTCAGGGTACTGGGCCAGCGTGGGGGCGGGTGACCGCTGTCTTTCCCGCCACTCTTCTCTCCTGCTCCCTAATTTCCCATCTCCATCCCAGACCCACCGGGAACTGACCGGGGAAAGGTACCCAGGGGAGGAGAGAGGGCACCCGTTTGGTGCCAATCCTCGGCGTCGCTCTGTGTGCTCTGAGAGATGCGCAGCCCGGGGCTCCGCGCTCTGCGCCTGTCAATTCCCTCTCACTTCGGCTCTCAGCGGCTGCCTCTGTGGCACCGTTTTTTAGATCGCCCAGCGGGACTGTGGTCTTTCTATCTTAGAGTCCGCCGGATGATGGCTCGCGCTCCCCTCTCCGCCCCCCCCCCCCATGAACTTGCTCTCCAGAGCCCGCGGAACTGCCTGGATGCCCACGGATCCTGCGCAATGGGACGTGAATGTCCCCTAACGAGGCTCTGGCCACCCGAACACGAAAACCACGAAACCTGCAAGAAATCACCGGCGGTCAAGCACGGCTTTGACTCTTCCACTTCGGAGCGACTGTTGATCACCCACCCGCTTGCCATAGGCCCCAAGCGGTCCCCGGCACGGCTTTTTGCTACCTTAGTCGCTTCCTTGCCCCGGCCTTTTAGAGCCTCGGGTCTCACTGGGGGCTGCGGCGCCGTCAGTAGCCGCCCAGAAATCCTGCCCTGTGCGAGTGCGACACGGCTGCAGGCTGCAGCAGACAGACGCGCCAGCCTCCTGCTCCCGACCCCCACCCCCACCGCAGTAAATCTCTAGTGTTGAGGGAAGCAGGGCTTGCAGGAAGCCGCTCCGGATGTTTGCTTCTTTACATGTGGCATTTGTGGCTGGCTTTGATAACGTCGCGAGCTCGACTCCCAACACCCATTTTAGCGAAGAAACTGAAATATGGCCCGCTCACCCCGCGAGCGGGTCTGCCGTGCGGTGGCCCCCAACACTCCTCCCAAAAGTATCTGTCAAGAGAATGGTCAGCAGAAGTTAGATCTAGGTAAGAGGACGGGAAGGGGCTAGTCTTGGGGAAGCGCCACATTTCCTGATAGACTTTTTTTAAGTGAAGTACTTACTACCTTGTGACTCCAAGGGAAGCTGTTTTAAGAAATGGGAGGAAAGGCCAAAATTTGGACTCTTCACTCTTAGTGGTCTGTGCTTTCTCTCACACAGATAAGCAGCCAGTCTTCAGTGATGAGTGCAAGTAACGCTGGGCGCCCGTGGGCTTTCTTTCCCAGCGCTTTCTCCGTATTCTCGGTTCCCTTCCCCGGGCAAGGACAGGAGGAACCAAGGTAAAATGGTGCATATACATTTTTCTAGACGTGCAACTGAATTATATTTCTGTTGTCTCTCTGCTTTCGGAGAAATCAATTAAGACAGAGAAGACGGAGAAAATTGCATTCTGGACCCGGTACTGTTTTCAGTCTTCATCCCACACAAACCCCTTAATTTGTGAAAGATTTCGCAGAAAGAGAAATTTCGGCCCTGAGATCTTTGAAGGGATGTCTATTACTAGCAGCAAAAGAAAAGAGGGAGGTGAGGGCCTGCGCCCTTGCCCCTGGGGTGCTGGAGGGTCACACAGGGAGACAGTCTCTCAAAACAAATAAACAAGGAAACAAAAAAGATAGATTAAAAAAAAAAAAGAGCATCTGGCTAGAGAATTAACTTGTAATGCTGTTGTCTCTACCCCTACAGTTTCCTTAAACACTTGAAATTCGTTTTTTTTTTTTACTTTTAAGCCACTGTTTTTTTAAAAGAACATAAAGCTTTGAAGAAGAGCACACCGCCAGTTAAATTTCAGATCAATTGCGTTCAAATCACCAATTTAAAAATAACATTTCTTTGATTTGTTAAAGCAGATTTCTCCCCTCCCCCCCTTGTGTGAACCGCACAGCTCTCCCAGTGCCACCGCTGTCGCTTTCTGCGGGACTACCAGCTATAAATGGGGCGGTGTGTGTGTGGGGGGGGTTCACTGTTGGCTTCACAACGCGACAAATTAGAGAAAAGTTGGCTTCTCTGTGATTTCTTTGGAGGAAAGGTAGTTCCAGAAACCTAGAAGCCAGCAAAAGCTCGGTGCTTTTTGGAATCTGCAGAAAGCTAGACTTGGTCTCTGAAACAACACACAAGAAAGCCTATGCAAAGCCATCTCAGGCTTAGAATTAATGATACTTTTCATAGTAAGCAAATCTGCTTTGGAAACTGATATGCTGGTTTCTCCCCCCCCCCTTCTGTCTCTCCGTCTCTCTCTCTCTCTGGAGACAGGGTTGCACATAGCTCAGGCTAGCCTCTAATCCCACAGGTAGCTGAGGATGATCTTGAACTTCTTATGCTTCTGACTCCTCGTCTCAAGTGCTGGCATTATGGGATCACAGGCATTAGCATAGACATAGCCTCTTTTATGCTGGATTCTTTTGGCCTGCTAGGTGAGCCTTCTAACTGAGCTATATCAGCCCCCACCTCAGTCCTTAAATTTTTCTCCCTCAAAGTTATGTAAAATTGACTGTTGGTTATCTTAGAAAACTTCGTAAATATACAAACTGAAATGCAACCCTGAGACCGAGTTCTTCTGGAGCTCCTGGTCTGACGGCGGCGGGCTGGCTGCTAGTCGTGAGCAACATTCGCCTCTGAATCTCAGTTTTATCTCCGGGAAGCTACAATGCTGCCCATTCACAAGCTGGTTAGCGGCTAAATCAGTTTGCTAATGTTTGGAAGGTGCTGAATATCTGGCTTTTGGGATAAGCACCGTAGGAAGGTTTGCTTTAATGGAAAAGTACTTTTAGGTCAAAATGAATTTAAGGTTGTTCAGGTTTTCATTCCAGTCTTAGGAAATATATAGAAACTTTGTGACCATCCGTCAGGGCAACCACCTTAAACGCTGTGGATTTTGCTGCTTAAATGAACTGACCCTTTTCCTCTAAGGAAAAGCGCAGGGCTGCTGTCTTTGCATTATATTTTATATTTTATTTTTGCGGCGTTTGGGACGGAACCACGGCCTCTTGCTAGTCTTTAGAAGTAAAACCAGGTCTTGCCTCTTTTACTGAAGAGCAGCTTTTCTTATATGTATCTTATGTTTCAGGCAGAAATTCCCAAGGGTTGACGTGAACATTTAATTCATCGAGTAGTGAAATATTAGCAATATAACACTTTATATTAGATTTTGGTTTTTTTTAAATTACAATTTAGAATTTACCTTGGACATTTTTAATATAATGTAAGCATAATGAGGAGTTCTTGGGAGAACAACGGGATTTTTTTCCCCGTAAAAAATCATATGAAGGTAATTGCCTCCGATAATAAAGTTTTTGTTTTTAATGGAATGGATACCTAGTATGTTAATACGAATTACCTCGGACCAGTGCTTCAATCTTCCGGTACAGTGAGCACTCCCAGACAGCTGAATTTCAGCAGTCTTATTTTCCCCGAGTCGCGGAGGCCTTGGCGCCAGAGCCCGGCTCCAGCCAGTTTTTCCCCCTGGCAGGTGTGTAGCCTTCGCGCTCCGCCGGGGGAGGGGAAAGGGGCGGGTGTGGGGTTGAACGGGGACTTGGGACTCGGACCACCAGCTGGGCGGAGGCCCAACGTCTAGGGTCCGGCCCGCCCCCGCCGCGCCATTGGCTGCATCTATAAAGAAAAGGGCCCGCGGCCGGGGGACACCCGCAGTGTCACTGGGTAAATCTCTAGCGCCCGCTGCGCGGTGGGTTTCTAGCTGGCGAAGCTGCGGGAAGTCCGCGCCCGCTCAGACTTCACGGGTTCCTCCGTGCTTCTCCAAAAAGAATCCCTTCCCCTCCCTGCCCCAGGGTCGGGGGGAAGCGGCGTGTTCCGTGGTGGGTAGCGGAGCGCGGGGTCGGTCTGGAACGCCATGAGCAGCCCGGATGCGGGATACGCCAGTGACGACCAGAGCCAGCCCCGGAGCGCGCTGCCCGCGGTGATGGCCGGCTTGGGCCCCTGCCCCTGGACCGAGTCCCTGAGTCCCCTCGGGGACGTAAAGGTGAAAGGCGAGGTGGTGGCGAGTAGCGGGGCGCCAGCCGGGACCTCGGGCCGAGCCAAGGCTGAGTCTCGCATCCGGCGGCCGATGAACGCCTTCATGGTCTGGGCCAAAGACGAGCGCAAGAGGCTGGCACAGCAGAACCCGGATCTGCACAACGCAGAGCTGAGCAAGATGCTAGGTGAGTCCTACCGGGGGATCCAATCCACCATGCGCGCGCCAGCGAATCGCTGAGCCAAAAGGATGTTATTTTTGTTTTGTTTTGAGTCTTGCACCCGACACAACCCGTTTACCAGTAGACCCAGTCCTTCCCTCCAGTTCCCTCTCTCAAAACCGCCTTTGGCTTTGGGTCTTTGAGGTATAAGGGTTTCTCAGCGCTTCGTACAGGCGAGCCGGACCCGCCAGGCCTGACGCCTTCTCATTCCCGGGGACTTTTGTCAGTTTTTCGAATTAAGGGGAGATAGGTAAGGGAGGAGGCCTCTTCTGGGCGGCCTCTCCTCCCTTAAGGTCTCGACCTGAGCCTTTCACCCTAGTTTGACCCGGCTTCTGGCCGGCTGGCTCAGCGGAAGGCTGCGCGCGGCAGAGGGGCCTAGGCGCGGGCACGCAGCCGGCTAACCCCGCGGGGCCCTCTCCACCTTCTTCGCAGGCAAATCCTGGAAGGCGCTGACGCTGGCGGAGAAGCGGCCTTTCGTGGAGGAGGCCGAGCGGCTGCGGGTGCAGCACATGCAGGACCACCCCAACTACAAGTACCGGCCGCGGCGGCGCAAGCAGGTGAAGCGCATGAAGCGGGTGGAGGGAGGCTTCCTGCACGCTCTCGCGGAGCCTCCGGCCGGCGCGCTGGGGCCCGAGGGCGGCCGAGTGGCCATGGACGGCCTGGCCTTGCCTTTCCCGGAGCCCGGCTTCGCGGCCGGCCCGCCGCTGCTGCCCCCCCACATGGGCGCCCACTACCGCGACTGCCAGGGCCTGGGCGCGCCCTCGCTCGACGGCTACACCCTGCCCACTCCGGACACATCCCCGTTGGACGGCGTGGAGCAGGACCCGGCCTTCTTCGCCGCCCCGCTGCCGGGGGACTGCCCGGCGGCCGGCGCCTACCCCTACGCGCAGGTCTCGGACTACACGGTGCCCGCAGAGCCTCCCGCCGGCCCTCTGCGAGTGGGGCCGGACGCCCCGGGCCCCGGGATGCCGGGGATCCTGGCGCCCCCTAGCGCCCTGCACCTGTACTACGGCGCCATGGGCTCGCCCCCGCCGAGCGCCGGGCGAGGTTTCCACGCGCAGCCCCAGCAGCCGCTGCAGCCGCAGGCACCACCACCGCAGCAGCAGCAGCAGCCGCAGCAGCCGCAGCAGCACCCGGCGCACGGCCCCGGGCAGCCTTCGCCCCCTCCCGAAGCTCTGCCCTGTCGGGACGGCACGGAACCCACGCAGCCCACCGAGCTCCTAGGCGAGGTGGACCGCACGGAATTCGAACAGTATCTGCACTTTGTGTATAAGCCCGAGATGGGTCTTCCCTACCAGGGACATGACTGCGGTGTGAACCTCTCAGACAGCCACGGGGCCATTTCCTCCGTGGTGTCCGACGCGAGCTCGGCGGTCTACTACTGCAATTACCCTGACATTTGACGCTTGCCGACCCAGATCTGCGGGCCAGAAGCAGTGTTACCCACTTCCTGGAAGCTGTTTTGTTTTTAAGTTGCCTTGGCACATAATTTATGGTAATTTATTTTGTCTGCCGCTTGAACAGTTGAGGGGCCACATGAGATTTTGTGTGAAGTGCATTGAGGGGCTTGTTCCCCACATCACTGTCCAGTTTCAACCAGTTTTTAATATCTCACCACCTTAATTCCATTTCTTGAAAGTGTACTGATCCCAAGAAATTTTGTCATGGTTTTTTTTTTTTTTTTCAATCTTAAATAAAGTCTGGAATCTTTTTAAAATCAATATCACATTGGTATTATCAAAGATCAACAGTGAATATTATAAAATTAGAAGTATATAGTTAATTGTAAAATTTTCATTTTCCTACAATGGTACACCTAAATACACGCAAGAAACCCTTACTATAAACGGTGGGGTGTTCAGATGTGATTATAATTGTTCAACTACAAAAAAAATTCTCACAGAAATGAACTTGCTATGTACATTCTAAATGATATCAGTGTCTAAGAATAATATTGTGAATGTTTAATTCTGTACACTTTAATGAAAGGTTATCCAAAAATTCTGATTTTTTAGTCAATCTTGAGACCTGCCGAAAAAGGCTTTTCAGGTGTTTTTTTGCTTGTCTTTTCTCCCAAAGTTCTTGATCCCTCATTCCACAAAATTTGCCTTTAATCCCCACACTCGTAGAGTCACAGGAGCTAATCAAAATAAAATTTTTGTTGTGACTATTAGTGAACTTCAGTATATAATTTCAACAGTGTGTTTTCGCTATGGCTGGCAAATGTGGATGGTTGCCCATTCCGACATTTTGCAGCTTTCAGATTCTCCACAAGTGAGTTGTGTGTGCTGTGCTTTACACTGAAGAAACAAACCAGCCTAGCCGCCTTCACACCCTATTGTGAAGAAACAGGTACAAGGCTTTGGCCATTAGCCCTGCATATCAGCCCTGCTGATTGCTGCCACATGGACTGAGACCATGGGGTAGGGGGGTGGGGAGGGTGGCTCATAGTGGGCATTTCCTGTGCCAGGTGTTTCCTCGGTATCATCCTGCACAGCTTGTGCCTGAGCAAGCCTCCCAGTTGGGCACCATACTCTCATTTTCCAAGTGATAATGACTAAAAAGGCGGGGGGACATTTCTGCCATGGTTTACAAAGTTTTGGCAAAGTCTATCTCCCCTCCACCGTATGTACTGAGGACAAACGTTAGCTCCTAATGTATGTGTAGAGTTCCTGTGTGTAGGGGGCATAAGTGGGTGCTAGGATTCACATTCTGGGTAGCATGTAAAGTATGTTTGTGGTGCACATCCCTACGTTGATGGATTCCATTGGATTCGCTTGGAAATGGCATTGTACATTTTAAAACTTTATTTTTCATTGTACATTTTAAAGGGGGATTCCCGTTTACTAGGCATGGAAGGGTAGAAAGTTTCAGCGACAAAAGGTTGAGCCTATTTTGTTGGACAAGGTAGAAGTGACTCTAGTCACTTTTAAATGATCATAATAATTAAACATTTTCTATTTAGAAAGTTAGGGTTCACCTCAGGGTGGTTATCTAACTTATTTCCTTTTCCTTTCTCCCTCTCAGCCCCTGCCACAAGGCATGGAAAGCAGACCCAAGTTAGGCAAGTGCTCTACACACAAGTCCATTCCCCGTGCTCAGTTTTGTTGTTTTTCCTGGCTATCCTGGAACATACCAGGCTGGCCTGTGCCTGCCAGGTGCTGGGACTAAAGGCATGTTCCAGGCTGAGTTTTATTCAGTGTCTTTTCTCGTTCTGTATAGTTTTGCTTTCTCTGATCCCAGAGAGGTTGTTCTGCTTCCAGCTTCAGTTCGTTTACAGGGGCTGCCCAGGCCCCTTCAAGGCCACATGGCCAGTTCAGATTTTTCTAGACATTTTAAGTGCCCAAGTCCAAAGAAACTCTGTTGGAAGTTTGGCTGCTATCTCTTAACAAAGTAAAGAGGGAAAAGGGGAAGGAAGAAAAAGAGATAGAGTGTTTAGGGCAAAGTCTAAAATCTGGCCAAGTTACATTTTTAACCTCTCCTAATGTACAGATGAGAAGACAAGACAGCTAAAATTATCAAGGCAATGTTACAATATGGATGGAGGTCTCTTTATCTTCATAGACAGCTCTTGTAGGTAGAGACTTCAAGCCAGTTCCCTTTCTTTCCTCAAGCACTTGGGTAAAGTGATCAAATTATGTGCTAATGATTGCGTTGTCATTTGGTCGTCATCTCATTTTTCTTTCACTGTCTTATGAAGGAAACACACACAAAAGACACCCTGCCCCCTCTTTTTGAGATCCTTTAGAAATAGGTGTAAGTATTTAGGGTGCATTTTGTTGGGTTCTAAGCAACCTTAGGTGTTTGCATATTTGGATTCACCTTAAGGCTGAGGAAAACAGGAATTCCTCTCTAGTAACATGCATACAAAGGACACACCCTTTGTACTTAGGTATAATTCTGGCAGTGTGTGACTCTTCGCAACTATCCAAGGGTTCCAGAAGCCTTGGTGTTGACCCGCAAATAACATAGACAACCAAACGACAGGCATCAGGTATTTGAAATCCAAACCAAACGGCAGGCATCAGATATTTGAAATTAACTGTTTCTATAAGGAATTCTTTTTTTCTTATCACACAATTCAAGAAACAAACAGTATTCTCTTGTGTTTAAAAGGAACCTATAATGTTTGGGCTAGATGAACATGTGAATTGTTCTTTGTGCCACAGTGATGGTCATTGCTGGATTCCAATATTGGTCCCAGAGAAGCCACTTTGTGCACTTAGGCCTGTGCGTCATTCCTTTCTGTATTTAAATTTGAGTGTTATTTGCTACTCCAACTCACTAAAAGGTAAAAGAAGTGAAACTACGACATTTTGAGGGCTGGCTTGAAGGAGGGTTTAACAGGCTTTGTTTCTTGTGTTCTTGGGAGTCCTGGACAATTGTGTAAAAAGCCTAGCTACCATTTAACCAGCATGGGAACTCCATAGAGATGGAGAAGAGGCTGTGGGTTTCCTGCAGAGGGAGAGGGCTCAGCTTCTCCAGCCCACTCCCACCTGATAGGACCCTAAGCAGCTGAGTAGGAAAATACCCAGAAGAAGGAAGCTAGGGCTGTAGTTGAGTGTTAGAGTGCTTGCCAAGATAGGTTTGATCCACAACCTCACTGAACAAAACAATTGCAACAACAAACACAAATCAAACAGAAAAGTCCAGACATGCTACAAGTGGAAATGATTTTTTTTTTTTTTTGAGGGGAAGGGGTTGTTTTAGTTTGGCAACAGATTTCTGACACATCTGCTGTCCTTAAGCCCTTGTTTTTAATTAAAGGAACATAGGTCTTGGTGGCAAAATCAGGAAAAGGCTTTGGGTCCCAACAGAGACATTATTAAAGTGAAAGACAGTGTGTTAGATAGGGTTAATATTCCTACGTTGAAACACTGTGACAAAAAGAAAGTTGGGGAGGAAAGTGTTTATTTGGCTTACACTTCCTTCCACATCATAGTCTGCCACTAAAGGAAGTCAGTGCAGGAACCCAGACAGGGCAGGAACTCAAACAGGGCAGGAACTCAGACAGGGCAGGAACCTGGAGGCAGGAGCTGACGCAGAGGTCATGGAAGAGTGCTGCTTACTGGCTTGCTCCCATGTCTTTCTCAGCCTGCTTTGTAATTGAACCGAGGGTGGTCTCACCCACAATGGGCTGGGCCTTCCCACATCAATCATAAATTTTAGAGATGCTCTAGAGTCTTGCCTACATCCTGATCTCATGGACACACTGTCTCATCTGAGGCTCCCTCTTCTCTGGTAACTCTAGCTGGTATTTATCTGATATAAGACCAGCCAGCCCAGACAGGATGTGAAATGCGAACACGGATTGAAAGACTGACTCTGGTATCACCACATCTGTAGATTGCTACACCCACATGAAGACATCCAGGTGCCTAGCTAGTGATCATGGAGGTAGAACTCAGAGCCTGATCTATGCTCTGACCCATGGGATTCGACCACCATAATATACTCCAGCTTCTAGCTAATCTTTTTTTTTAAGTATATCAAATTTATTTCAACTTTTTACTGTTTATCTTGGAAATAAATTCATTATGGGTAAATTGGGTTTTTTCCCCCTCAGCTCTATTTTTGAAGTTCTTTAGAAGTGTCCAGAGGTAAGAATCCAACCTTTCCCTGACCCGAAATATCCAGTCATCAGACTGATATGGAATCAACATGCCTCTGAAACACTAACAGTGAAGCTGTTTTTCCCCAAGAGGACATGGTGTAATCTCTTTAGAGCAAATTTGTAAATTCGATGCACAAACGGCTGAGATGCTGTCACAATGAAGTTCTTTTACTTATTTCCATCTCCCTCTGCAAACAACACCCATTGGTTCTTTAAATCTGTGGTGGCACTAGGAAGGAAAAGCACATGCAAACAAAAGGAATTCAGGGACAGTAGGAGAGAGTTCTAGGAGCCAAGTGTACCTACCTAATCTTAACTTTTACATGTTTCATTTCTTTTTAAATACTCAGAACTGTGTCTGTCACAGAAAATATCATTTATGTTCAACATCCATCCTCCACCCCATTCTTTGATTTGTTTTGACAGTAGCGGTCAGGGAGAGGTATTTTACAACCATTATTTCAGCACAAATTTATTCTTCCTGCTTACAAGGTGCTTCCTTTTGGGTCCAAAAGATTCCTCTGAAGAAAAGTGGTTTCAATGTTCTCATCTGGAGAAGGAAGAGGGGTGGGCTCCGATTCCTCCTACGTAGGGAACCTATGACCCACTGAGTATTTCATTCGCTCTCTGGTCTGAGGTCTAGCTGTGTTTCCTCCTTTCTTCACTATCACACCTTTTCCTGCTCTTCTAAATAAGAAGGTTGCTGAGTGCTTTTTTCCCCCTGAATAACCAAGCATTATTGGATTCAAACTGCATGGTGCTTGATACACAAACTCAGAATCCCCACCACTGACCTTTCTAACTCCGTTACCAGTATTAAAAATTGTCATGTCCAAGTGCTTGGTATATAGCAGGTCCAAACACAATATAGTGATTAATAATGGTTCTCTTTATTGTATCAAGTCTGTAGCAGCTCCAAGCAAAACCAATTTGGTTGAAAACAAGAATAAAAACTTATTCTTGGACCATTAAAATGGCTCAGCAAGTAATGGTCCTTGCCACCAACCCTGATCACCTGAGTTCAGACACTGTAACTCATGTTACAGGAAGGAAAGAACTTACTTCTGCAAGTTATCCTCTGGCTGG